GTAAAAAGCATGTGACCACGAGGAAAACGCGTGTCAAAAAAATCGAGCGTGACTTCCGCATGTAATAATACATGGAGCAAGTTCACGAAAAAAGTGCGTGCGCAACGAACATTAAACGTGTGAATCCCCTTATCCTCTATAAATCGAAACAAACGGTAAGGTCACACGTATTGTGCATAGATAATACAGCGTATTTTTTCTCCTCGAACATAAAAACAAAATTAAACATTATTTTTAGAAAATTGAATACTATGAACGCCGACTAAAAATACTTACAAAAATATTTCCAAGTGTACCTTTACATTTACTGTCTGTTACACATAAAAGTCGACCAAAAATCGCATGGACTTTAAAAATAGTATGTTGAAATTTTACTATTATCCTGCCTTTATTTGTGACTGCCTTTAAATGTAACATCAACAATCGTGTTTGGGTATGGTGTTCAATTCGAACGTGGTGGCAAGCTGATTAACTTTTAGCGATCATTTCTTGATGGTAATATACTTTTTAACTTCAACCTAACCCAACGAAAATGACGAAGTTAAATTGAGATCACGCATCATACATTTTACTTCTAGACATCTGATGGTCATCCGATTGGCCAGGAAATAACACATTTAATCATCGCAATGACCCCACTTCGTACTAGTTCTCCCTGTACATTAAATAATGTAGTCAAAGTCAACGCACCAATTTTCCACACACCTGATAATTAAATTAAAAATCTTCAAAATTGCGTAAAGCTCACCTAACTCGTCGTATTGAGAATTAAACTTCTCTTAATTATATACGACGATAAGTGTGTAATCGAGACGGGGGGAGGGGGGGGGAAGAAATTCCACATTCTCCGGCGCGTCAATTCGGTTCGCGAATCGATAAGCAATGCTTATTCACAGTGCAAACAATAAGCACGATCGGCAGTCAACGGAGGCTGGCTGGTGAGCTTGCAACAAAGCTCCGACTTGACGGCAAACTCTCTTCCATAAACCATGGCCAGAAATCGTGTTAGACACGTGCGCCACGCCTCGTATGTGCTCAAGGTATAACGATTCAGTGTTTACCGATGCTATACAATTACATTGTGATGGATTATAGAAACAACTGTAATCGGCAAAAAGGCGTGTACCGATGTATATATATATATATATGTCTCGGTAATCCAAGCGAGCGCCTCTGTGGTATTTGTATTATATACATACGTAGCGCGCAAGCCGATTGGTTGCCGATCTGGGAGTCGTCGTCGTGCACATATAATATTATCACACATAGCACGTGATTGCGAGGGCCCGCACGTTTCATCAGATACTCGTGTACGCGTGCAGATCACTGGCCTGAGCTTTTGTCTCTGAAAAAGGGGGGAGGGAATAAGGGGAGACGCTCCGTGGACGCGTGATCGCGCGATTGTCGGTGTATACTTGATCGCTCTTTAGTCGCGGCGTGAGATAGCGATCGGCCGGCAAAACTGTTGCTGATAATCGGGTGTGCTCACGTGCGATTTATTGGTAGAGCGCGTGGGGCAAGCTCCCATATTATGGTCGTTGAGCCGAAAATTCGGGAAAGATCGGCAAAGAAATCGGTTTTCACAAGATTGTTGGGACTGGTGATCTTACAGTATACGCAACTGCAATTAATCGTTAATTAATTGTATGGAGTTATCTCGACTCAAGTACTTCTCAGTGGTTCGGTCGTGAGATGATTAATGATGCATTGGATTTTTTTTTTTTATTTGCGGGAAAAAAATGACTTTATCGCCTGGTTATCTATCGAGACGATGCATACGATCGCACATTATGTATATTTTTAGAGTCTGTTCTTTTATACTCGCGTGAACTTCAAATGGCTTTTTATGGGTACTTTGTGTTTGTTTGCGCAACTGTACTATACTTACAATAGCCGTCTTTTATCACGAAGTGAGATAGAATCCAAATTTATTGATTGTTCGTGCTATATCAGCTTTCATTACGAAATCAACGTTTCAATTGAAAATTACTACATCTTCTATGTATACCTAAGAGATTTACAAAAATTTTTTGTCAACGTAAATCTGACAATTTTCTGTAATTGAAAAGTATAATATATAATACATTAAATAATGCCTCAGCTTACTTTTTGCGTGTGCTTCAAATAATTCACCCTGATACATAAATCTTGAAGATAGTTAAAAAAAAAAAAAAAAAATCGTGTTACTATCTACTATTTGAATCCTTTTTTCAAAGCAGTCATTGTATCAACAATTTTTTAATTGTCATTACCATAACGAAAACTTCAAGACCTTAGCTTCTTAAAGTAATATGTTAACTCTTAAAATGACAATTGGATTCAGGAGTATAAATAAATCAAATAGTATACATTTCCAGATAATTGTAATAATGCAGAACTTATTTTATATTTGCTAATTGATATTTAAAATAATGTTTCCCATTGAATCATTTGATGTATTTAAATCTAGTAATACAAATTATTTAATTATCTTACATTATAAAGTTTTAATTATTTCAAATATTGGTTTTATAAACTAAATTTTTTTAAATTTGTTTTAAAATTCACCCACTGTTCGTGAGTCTCATCCAATGACAGAACAAATACAAAGGCTTTAGTATACAAAGATAGGATTTTACTTTATTTTATGAATCAACAGTGCAATGGCGCAGTCACAAATGTAGTTAGTTATATTGTCTTGAGTCAGTGACATCACAAATACAAGGGTGTAAAGCTCCATTTGTTATTTTTTCTGTTTAAGATCGAATTCGTACAATATATTTTTATTAATAAGTTTCATCTACACGCACATAGATTTAATTTACTTTTAATGCATTAAACCGTGAAGTGTGAGTTTATTTAAATTTTTAAATATCTCAATCGTCAAAACTGTATTGGTCCATAGCAACGCCACCGCAACACAAACTCCCAAAGTTCCACGAAGCGATAGATAACTCGGAGGATCCGAAGCAGATCCTGATCGTGTAGCATCTGGTGGTAAGCAAGAGCTCGCAACGTTGACAACTCACGACTGGCGACGTCAGCCAGGGTGCGGGTCTATGCATATTTTGAACGTCTAATCTTAAAAATACATACATGATAAAAATAGATCATCTCAAATTAATGTTAGAAAACTTTTGTCACAAAGTAATATTGAATTATGTCGGAAAATAATAATGAAAATTAATTAAATATAAGATAAAAAATAATAGTAACAACTGTTAATACGTAATGTTTAATTTTAGACCCATGATTACAAAACGCGCTATAAAATTAATTAAATTTTGCGTTTTTTAGTCAAAATTTATGTTTATATATTTTTTAATATTATGCTAGTTATGTTAAACACGCTTCTCCCTGTCTAGTTTTGTGGAAATTTTTTTTTTCCCAACACATTTAAACTCAAATGTTAAAATATAAGTAATTGTATTAGTTGGAGATTTTTTTTTTTAATATCATCTCAATTAAAGCTTTCCAGTATTACTTTGAGACGACACTTTTTTGAAAAACAATTATTAATTGTGAAATTTCTACACTTATAAGCTAATGGTTTAATAAAATCATTGCCCACGAAAAAATAAAATTGAAATATGATCAGTAAACTATAAATTTACAACCATTTACAAAAAAAACTATATTGAAAGCCGACATTTTTGACGTATTTTCAATTTACAATATTTATCATATTCGCTTTGAAAGTGCTTTAAAGTTGGAAAAAAAAATTTATTGTTAATATTAAAACCTGTGGTGCCATCATGGGTAAAATAAGTCATCATTTTAAGGCATTAATAATAAATAAACGACACCGAATGATTCCTTTTGATTATCCCCTTTTCCAACGTAAATCTATATCTTGTTCCGCCTATGCAGCTAAATGAAAAAATATGAGGCAGCAAATCAGGCCCTCATCTTGGCCCTATTTGCGATTGTCCGACCAACCTTCCCTGAAATCAGGTTCGCCGCGAGACCCAACCTAGAATTGCTATCCTCCTCAAAGTGGTATATTTAACACCTCTTATTTTTATAAAGACTGATTTAACGTATACATGTAATAATGTGAATCTTACTGACACCGTGGTTGTGTTCTGGAATTCCTGACAGTCCTGACGTGAGCATTGAAAGAATAAAACCACCCCAAAATTCCTGATTTTGCCCTATCGATGCCATTCGTGTTATATATAGCGCGCAAATACATATGTATCTACATAGAGTAAAATATCTATAGTTTCGGCGCTATAAAACCATCACAACTCTGCACGTACTGTAGATTTCACGCAAGGTTTAAACCGTTCGCGGCGCGGCGCGCAGGCAGTCCGCGTTTCTGCGAGAGAGCATAAAGGATAGAGCGAGAGCTTCGGAGCAGTTGGAGCACTTTTGGAGCTCTCGGAGCAACAACATATATACATGCACACACATGTAGACGCAGACGCGAGCTGCTCTCTGCAGGCGAGGAACCGCCGCTTGGTGTACACAGTCTGCCCGAGGGACGCGAGTGGCTTGGACGCTTCGTGTTAGCGAGGCTCCTCTTTTTACCCCCTCATCTCATCCCCTTGCGTCGCATACACGTTATAACTGCTCCCGCTCTCTTTCTCTCCGGCTCTGCACGGCGTGTTTGTTTTATCGTGTGCTCGTGCTGATATACAGTATATATATTGTGATACTCTGTCGTTTTTACGCTCTTTTCAGAGTGTTCATGTAAGTGATTGTTCATTGAGTGTGCCGGCAAAAGAGTGATTCAACCCGAGTAACATTGATGACGAGGACAACGACTGTAGGACGATGGGAAAACAACAAAGTTAAACAAATTTCGGAGTCGCAAAAATGGCGAGAGTGGCCCGCCACGAGCCTGCGCTGAGATGTACATGTGAGTGATGCTGTGCTGCAGCACATGAGAACAAATTCACCGATTCGTTACTGAATATTCAAAGTGCTTAAGAAAAGAAATCCTGGACAGGCTCGTTCGTTTTCTTATGGTTTATTCTTTTTTTTTTTTTTTTTTTTTTTTTCTTGTGTTTAAAAGGCGCAACGTGTGCATAGCAGAAGGATCGGTGGGCTGCATCCACGCCGCTGTAGTTTTCGCGCGCGGTCTCTTGGTGGGTAAAATTATACCGACGTAGCTGTGGTAGGATATATTGTGTACACACCATATTTGTATGTACACTCGGTTGATTGTTGTTACGAGGAGAGCAGCGAAGAAACAGAGCGGCTAGTCATCGCTGGCTCTCAGGTATAGCGTATTCCGGAGCTGCAGCATCACACAACAGCCCGCAGCGAGAGCGGTATATATTTATGTTCGCATCACGTGCAGCAGTGGAGCACTGGAGTAGCAGCCTCATTTTAATTCAATCCAACCGTCTCCATTACGTCCGTCAGCCTCCACTTTTTCTCGCGACTTGGAATCTCCGCATCTAATGTCCTTGCAGGGGTTTCACACATTCCACCTTTCTTTCATTTTTTCATTTTTATTTTTCATTCTTTTGGCAAACCGACATTCGACATAATACACGCAATGCACAAGTGCCATGCATTTGGTAACGTTTGATTGATGATTGACAAGGAAGAGTCGGAGAGATAAAGAAGAAGAAGAAGAAGAAGAAGAAGAAGAAAAGGAAGAGGGTCGTGTTGTGCGTTGTGCTAAAGTATGAGTGCTGTGGTGCAAAACGACATGGTGCAGCAGGTAGCCGGCATCAAACTGCAGGAGCAACAGCAGCAGCAGCAGCAGAGCGACGTTATAGCCGGTACGAAGCACCAACTGGGGCATAATCCTCAGGAACAACAGCAGAGTGGTACAAGTATCGAGCCCACGGAGCATCATCATCATCATCATCAGGCACAGCAGCAGCAGAACCTGAGCGCGATGCTCGCGGAGAAGGACCGATTGATCAGCCGGCAGTACGTGGAGATCGAGCAACTCCAGCGGGAGCTCGCCGAGGTCATAGGCGAACGGGACGCTCTGATGTGCGAGGTCTCGCAGTTCAAGTTCGAGCTCGAGATGGCCGACCTCAAGCGACTCCACGACGACAGGTAAGCAGCCATGTGACTGAAAAATTCATGCAAACTATGATGTTGCAATAGGTATTGCTGTTGTTTTTCCGTTTGCCGTTGATCCTTTAGATTTTTTTCAACGTGTTTTCTTACCCCCTTATTATTTTTTGACATCACGCCAAGTTTTAAGGTAATTTTTCGGCGTTTATGTAATTTTGTACCCCACTATGCGTTTACATGCAAGTGCGTCAGACAGTATCGGGCCCACAATACCTGATGGGCGAGAGCGATTGTGCTGTTATCGTCATCGAGGGCACCCGGCCGTGAACGGTCTGTTTGTTTTGCTTTAACGCTGCGTACGATTATTTTTTGGCATGAGCTCTCAATGCCCGTGCACGTCAAGAAATTGAAGATACAGACAAAGTTTACGAGCATCTTCAATTGTCGATGGTGTTGTTGTCGGTGTTGTCATTTTTGTAGTTCGCGTGCATGCGTAACATGTGTATTTATATATTTTTTTTATGACTTAAAATATAGTAGATAAAGTTTTATTATAAATGACGTTAGGTTCATATATCTCTCGAGTATTTATGAGGCGGGATCACCTTTGATGGAGATAAATAATTATCGAGACTCGTATTTTTTGCGTGAATCACTTTTATGTTTTTTTTTTTTTTTTTTTTTTTTTTCAACAAAAGAAGCGTGAATTTTCATTTCACGTCACTGATAAAAATGAGTTGATAAAGCAATCGTTTTTCAAATTTCATCGTCACTGCATATTTGATTGATAGTACATTTTATCGAATTTAAACTCGATTTTGTACAAAAAAATCACTTTTGTTAAAAAATTTGTAATTTGAGAATTGATTCTGTCATTCTACTAAAATATAAAAGTAATTTATTAAATTTTTATCGTTATTTGTATTTGATCACTCATTAGATTATAGTAACAAATCGAAATGAAAAATCGTTATCATATAGATTGACACAATGAAAAATGTACACGTTAAATTTTAGATTCGATCGATCAATAATCATAATGATAATAAAATACGTCAAGCTTACAAATGATCCTGTAATAGTCATTTTTCATAGTTGTGAAATGATTGTTATCTATAAGGCCCTTTTGTGCGTGACCCTAACCCTTTTTTTATGCTGGTCCATTACTTTTTAATGACGTAGATTATTCAGGATTTTCGAGATCATTATTATTGATCATCCACCCGTTGAATTTTTCTTTTTGATTTCTATTTGGACAAACGATCGTTATTTTACTATAATGACATCATTACGTATTTGATCAACTGATTTAACACAGCATATTTTTTCCAATTTAAAACATATTAAGAATATTTTAATAGCATTCGACTTTATCGTTATAGATAGCACTCTGGTGGTAAGTATGAAATAATGGATATTTCTGGAAAATGTTGTAAATATGTTTTATTAATTTCAAATCGAAGCGTACAATTTATAATATAATATGTACACGAGACAGTATTATATAAGTGTAATTATGAATACATCTGCCGTGCAGTTCATTGACAAGTCAGTAATCATCTTTTTTTCAAGCTTTTTTTATCTTTAAACGTAAGAGTAAACATGTGTGTGTGCGCGCGTGTGAGCTATTTAAATTTTAAAAAAAGTCCAGCAAGCATCAACTGTCAGCCTTTTAAAAATAACTAACAAATATTTACCAAACGCCGTTGAAATATTAAAATACGAAGCTTGGTATATCTACGCACGCGATCGCTGAATTATCCATAGTTTAATGGCCAAAGTTCGGCCGCAGTCCGATTACCTTCAATCGAATAACTGACCAAAAGAACAGAGCAGCAGTGCTATTCGTACGATACATATATCTATAGTGTTCTTTGTCTGCCTTGCTGCAGCTGGAATGTCGCGCTTCGCAGATTTAATTAAAACTGGAGCCCCCTCGCACTCGGCGCACGGCTGCACTGCCCTGTATTGCTATCATGTGAAATTAAAGCATAAATTAATTATTGCAACACAGAAAAAAAAAAGAAAAAAAAGGACCAACTCGTGAAGCACTAGCTTGTTGTAAAAAAAAATACTGCACGCGATAATGATAGTAGTGTGTGCTAGAGCTCGCTCGGGCGTGTACCCACAATAAGCGTTCGTTTGCCAGTTCGCGCCTATAGTGAGCTTTTTATGATTATTATATGTATGTGTGCGTGTCGGGGGTGCTAGAATTTTTCCCCACGGGAAGAAAAGTCTCGAGAGCCCTTGAAAAGCACCACACTTGGGACTGAAGCTACGGAGAATAAAAAAATGCATACGTGAGTCGGTCTATAAAAATGTACAAATGTCAATAAACAGAGGGAATGTATGTACATCCTGAAATTATACCATCTTCAATATCATACATTTTTTGATTTTATGTACCCGAACCAGGGAGATGAACTCTATTTAATTTTAAAGTAAATGTAATGTTTTAAAAAATGCACAATATTTATATCATGGTTTTAATGGTATCTAAAATTAATGGGCTGGGCATAATGCGATACAAAAGAGAGAAAAAATGAGACCAAAAGGAAAGGAGATTGAAAATATTTGGTTTAATAGATGTTTATTTTTTATCAAAACAATATGTAGATGATTGTTATCAGCAAAAACAAATTTTTTTTTAATGGTTCGTTATTACATATAAATTATTTAATATCCAACGAAAAATTTAATCAGATAGAGCTAATTACAATATTTTATTAGAATAATGTATAAGTGATTCATTCAAAGAATCAGTAAAATTAAATTATTTTGTCTATTATACGAGGAATAAAATCTTTTTGTTTGAAAAGGTGCTTTAATTAATTCAAATAAGCTTAAAAACTAATTATTTTATTGAAAATTTTTATCAGTACTGTGTGACAAAACGTTTAATTGAATTTACAAAATCTTTTTTGAGTATCGTAGTTGTGTGCTGAGTGTGGGGACTTTCCGATTGTTGGGAACTTGTCTGCCTAAAAATGACACTTTTTAAATTTTACCAAGTTTACGCATTTTAACATAAAGTATTTCAGAATTTGGGTGGGTAAAGTATTACTTTGTTGGCGTTATAATACAAATATTGAACGTGAAAAATTCATGAGTTTAAAAAAAAATGCATTTCATACATTTTAATCGCAATTATATTTAAAATTGTAATATCGAAGCTGCTTTGGTAATATATAAAATAGTGTGTTACAAAATTAGACTTTCCTCCCACAATGAGCACTTGTGCTGATTCAGATATCCTCTTCACACATATGTCTTCAATCAATTTCTTCTACGCCAATCGAGAGACCCAAAGGTGTCGTTGGTGAAAAAAATAGTGAACATGTCACCTAGATTGTCTTTCTCGGGCTCTCTCATGCTTTCAAGCTGGGTCTTTCAGTACACACAGGTATACTTGTATACTGAGAGGCTATAATAAGAGGTTAAAATGTTCAATGGAAATAAGCTGTGTTCCCCTATACTTGCTCTAAGGGCCTTAGCGGCACGAGCTGATTAATTTGTCGAGGTGTTTCAGTTCCCTCTCTATCTCTTAGTTTCACTCTTCAAGCTACTAATTTATTCAAGACTCAATTATTTGAGCCTGTTAGACAGCAAAAACTTGAAGGAAGAAGTTGATAAACGAGAGTATCCATGTGATTCAATTTTTCCTTTTGAATCTATTTTTATCATCTGTTACTTTAAATTTAACGTATGGTTGTCTCACGTCTCTAAGCAAACAGATTAAAGCTACTGATAACAAATTTTTTTTAGATTTTAATAGAGATACCACACACTAAATGGATATTGGTTAAAGGTATTAAGAAATACGTCTAACGAATAGTCATAACACTATTATATATTTTTGATTGATAGTTCGCATGGTCATTATTAACTGATAACGGTTTCTTGGAAGACCTACAGTAAATATTTACTAATGATCTATCTATCCATCTATCCATTTATAAATGTGTTTAGCTTCATTATCTGTTTTCATCTATTATATGTATCAGTTTATCAGAAAAGATTCAAAGTTACAAATGTTCAAAATTCCTAAAAAGTTTATTTATACTGAAAATATAAAAATTACTTAAGTTTCCGTCTTTTTTATTACACACAGTAGTCCCATTAAATGAAAATGTTCTAGCGGGCTAAATTGATAATTTTCAATGTATTTTGGATTTGCTGATCAAAACATACAGGAAATAAATATTATAGTCTGTTGGAACTAAAATTATGTAATTTGCGTAATTATTTTTTGATTATCACATTTGTTAATAAAATTTTTCGCTTAAGTTTTCAAGGAAGTTATAGAAAACATCTTTCACGTAATAATAATCTGCTCATTACACATAGTTCATTTAATCTCTCTGACATTCGTATACATGAGCATTTAATTTATATTTATTTAAACGGCCAGCATTAGCCAAACAGAAGCATCATCATGCCCCCTCGCCCACACACCACCACTGGTTCCGAGAAACCGGGCAACAACAGCAGCAAGCAGTTGCACACCTAATATATATACATAATGCAGGGTCACCTAGAGCGATGCTGATGGTATAGTGTTATTATAGTGCCGCATGCAATAAGCAGGTCCAGCAAGGACGCGTGGGTGGATTCGTGTCATGTGGCCTTCCCCTTGCCTCTCTTTTTCTCCACAGTAGGTATACTCCTGTCGTGGATGTGTGTGTGTGTGTGTATTTTCTTTTCTGGAATCGACTTGGTTCTCCTCCGTAATGGGGCATAGGTACACATTGGAATGCGAACGAACGAGACAGACTCTTCTTTTTTTTTTTTTTCGCCATAGGAGCCTCCAGAGCACGTGCAGTGCACATACATGCGTGTGTATGTGATCTCCCATCGTGAGATTATTCGTGAGGGAACGCAGACGCATGCTTACGTGTCTCTGTTTCACTTTATATGTACCTCCGCACTTTTCACTGTTCTTCGTCCCCATGTTGTGTTATACATGTGTTCTCCTTTAAATCCTCCTCTTTTTTTCCGGACAATGTATACGAGCAAAGAGAGACGAGAGTCCTGCTCTA